ATAACCACACTAATATACTTAATCGAATGCTTTCAAATCAAATAAGTATACTTCCCTCTGCTATTTAACGATTAGAAGATATAACGCAATTAATTTGCAATTGATGTTCGACTTTGGAAGGGAAAATTGATTCTGTGTTGATCCTAGAAGTAGTGGTAGAAGATGCAGGAGTAGGTAAGGAGAATATTTATTGATCAAATATGCATGAAATCATATTTGAACCAACATATTTCGTGTCATTTTAATTTAGGAAAGTCTAATCGCTCAAACAAAACGTATCTCTATAATTATATTAATTTTACTTTGAACCATAACTATTAATTGTTTCCGTACAGTAATTAGTTTCCTTGATTTTCCACATTCCCCCCTCCCACCACCAAGTAAAGTGTAACTAGTAACAAGAAGGATAATTTCCTCGCGGACAGAATACTAAGACGAATTTATGAATTTAAAAACCGATTGCTCAAGTATAATCCAATTTATCTCTTACCTACGTGACAAAATATACTGTTTTATAATAACTCCCTTGTATACTCGAAGTCTCGATTTTGTTGTCGCTGTTTTGTCAGTTTTACTGTACATTTTTATATCAGAGGAAACTCGTAAAGTAGTGGATAGTGGTCGATAGCGGATAGTAGTCCTGATAAGTGGATTCTGTAAAAAAGAACTGATATTCTAAGCAATAATATTCAACTTTTAAATGAGCAATTTTACAAAACTAACCATATTTGCAGAAAATTCTCCACAATTGCTAAATTTTTGAAGTTATAAAAGGATAACCACATGCGTCTGGAGCTTCGTTTGTCCTGGCTAGAGCGGTGGAGATGGCATAGGCCAATTGAATTTCATTTACAATGGTTTCATGTCATTCCAAATAGTGTAAATACATTGAATATTGCAGGTTTTCTGGCGGGTCAACCGCTGTGGCAATAAGCTCCGTGAAAGTAGCTCGTTTGAATCTCAGGTGGGGCTGTTCCTCCGCTAAGAACGTAACTCGGCCTCATACGGCCTCATACGTGTGAGCGTGAATTTCCTCGCTCTGTGCATCTCCACCGCTCCAGCCAGGACAAACGAAGCTCCTGACGCACGCGGTTATGTAGAGCGTGTGAATATACGTGTGTGTACGTCAGGTGTGAGGGTAGGACAAGAAAAAGGAAGGGAAAACGATAGCGTGTGATCCGTGATCCCTTCGTAAAGGTACTGCTCCGGCGTTCGGCTGGAAACAGAACCGGAGAAACCATAGTAAACTAACTCGCTGCTGTAACTTCAGTCGCTGCTCCCAAGATGATGCGATTGTACTCCCTCTAAAATATATTCATATTTGACTCATCATACACGATAATGGAATTGTATAGCTGAACTCAATAAATATTATTATTATTGTTGTTATTTATATAACTAACGATTTCGAGCACCCTGCTAAGATAATTTGTCTCCAGTCTGCGTCTTGAGTTCGATCTACCTATCTCGCTAAGATCGAAAATCCGCCCATCGTCGGGACCTCAGAACGCCCCCCCCACTTGGGACATTCCTGGCCAAGAGGCTGCTAGGTCAGACAGCAGGGTCATCCGATACACATGTTGAATGCTGGAAGAAACGGACTTGTTTGAGAACGCTCTCTCACAAATACTCTTCCCTTAGCTGATCGCAAGCTGTGTTGGGAGGCACGAGAACACGTTCATGAAGTATCCGGTTGTCCCGTGGAGAGCCCGCTAAGTGACGCCAAGTGGCAGTGTGCACTCAGTGATTACGTGGCTGTCGACAGATGTGCGGGGGAGACGTGATAAAGGCTCCGGTTCTTCGACGTCGCGTGGCCCGGCGGGAGTCCCTCGCGAGGAGATACGGAACGCAAACGCACTTTTTACACATCCTCGGAAACGGCAACTGTAAGTTTTCCTTGAAACCGTAGGGTATTAGTTTTGTATGCACGTCATCACTTCAACTTCATGTGAACAGTATACATCCACACAGAAAATTGAAGGGTTTGTGAATGAAATGAAAAGACCTGCGTCACGCAATGGCTTCGTGTTCTTTGACTGGCATACCATGTTAATTTGAATGGAATGGCACTTCTCTGAGAAGTTTGAAATTGTTTCTAACTTGAACTTTGGCTCTAGGGTTTAGACTGGAAACTTACAATCCTTATCAAGCTCACTGCTACAGTTGAAAGACTCATTCAGATGAACAAGTAATGGTTTATATGTGAGAACGTAATTTCTCGACGCTCAATTTTCAAAACGCGTTCACATAAATCGGGCACTCATGTAGCGCGAAAAAAAAAACTGCACTGCAAACGTCCGCAAGCTGGGACCGAGAACTTCCTCTAACACCAGCGGCAATCGCGCAGAAATTTTATCACCACTATAAAGTGGCCACGGTGGAGATGACATCGCGCGAACTTGTGTCTCCGGCAACCGCAACGTGCTTACCCTTTAGCGCGTTATCTCTAGACATCCCGCAACACCTCACCCTTCCACGCGCGCAAAGGCAGCTCGCGAGAACAGACGGCGGTAGAATTCCCCGGCGGCGCGCTGTGGCGGTGGCGGTGGCCCGCGCGGGCCGTCGGGCGCCCCTCGCTAACCAACACCGCTCCCGCCGCCCGCCCCGCGCGTTGAGTCAACACGGGCGCGCCCGCCCCGCCGCGCAGCCAGACGGCCTCTTGGAGAGCATTAGCGCCCGCTGAGCACACGGCGGCTCCGGCCCCCCCGCGCCCCCGCGCCCCCGCGCAGCGGTCGCGCTCTCGCAGCCACTCGCTCGGCCACGAATTCCGAAGTAGCTCCGTTTCATGGCCTCGCGAGGGAACTCAAAACCGAGCGAAAGTGATGCCGAAACTGGGGAGTTGCTCGTAAATATGTCAATATATCATAAAAACAAGTCAATTCAAAAATGTTAAAAAGGATCTTATTTTAAATTATTAAAATATGTTAAAAAACTTCAATAAGTTATTTTCTAAAAATAGTACATTGACCAAAATTAGTATCCAAAATTATCATTTTCAAACAGTCTCTACTTGACATTGAGGTCTGCACACAAAAACTACATAACTGCTTAACTGGTAAAGCGAGAGAGTTCCATCATTTCCTAACTCCACTAATTTTTTTAAACACATTATGTATCTCATGATCTTATTAAGAACGCATTACACATTTCGCACCCTCATTCTTAGAACATACGACAGTTCATATGTTAACTAATTCTGCGACCACAAGAAACGATTTTTTCGGCCACCAGACCGATTTTTTCCTGCAGGGCTGCCATTTAGAGCCCGGCGAGAGAGGTGTCGAGACGCTTCTACTCGCCGGTGCTTGTAGAAATACGGGTTTGGTCTTCGGGTTATTTGTCAGCGTTTATTACGTAGTGTGCGCACACGCTGTGAAGACCCGACCCCGCCCCGCGCTTGACGACATCGGAAAGAGAGAGAAAAAAAGAGGATGACTAGTGGTTTCCCCGCAGAGCAAAGGTCACTCGAAGCCACCGATCACTCCGCGTTCATTGAGTCGCGAGCCCAGGTGTGAAATACGCTCAGGTGCGCGTTCTGCGCCTGCAGAGGCGGCGTATCGGCTTCCCCCTCCTCTCCGTTCCTTCACCTCCACGCTTTTGCTGAATGGGACGTCATACATGGTTTGTCATTGACACGGCCGGAAAGGGACAAATTTACTTGGGATGAGCCTTGGTATTTAGTCTCCGAAAAAAAGAATTAATCGCGAAAAAGATTTTTAGACAGCAATTTACATCTTATTTTTATTGCAATTTTAAAAAAACCGCTCAGTTCGTGAAAAAGGTTTGTCTTGCCATGAAGTTGTATAGATATTCACCTACAAACAACTCTGACTATTTTTAAGTCCGAAATATAATATTTTACATTTCCATTTCTCTTATTTGCAACAGTACTTGAAACCAGTGGATAAATTTTCAGAGATGATTTTTCTCCAAATTGAGACATAAACGTCTATAAATTTTACGAAGCCGTTTAGGTACGAGATTATGATGAAATATTCAACTATCACCTTTTATGAAGTCGAATCGAAGTTTACGAAAGTTTGTCACCAATTTATGATTTCTTGTCATTTTCAAAACTATTCTGTAAAAAGATTCGTTTAGACTATGAAGTGTGATATATTACAAAAGTTTCTAAAACTTATACATAATCAGTGAGTATAAATATTAAATAACAATGATTTAATTAAGAAAACTACTGAAACAAGTATGGAGAAATCAAGTATTATGTGAAAGAGAATAAACATTATTTATATTGATTGTTACCTCAAGGTTATCAAAAAAACATTCAGGACAGCCATATAAGTACTCAGCACATCATACGAATGATTTACAATCGTTCAAATTAAACCGTTTTTGAAATTAAATTCGCATCATGTCCACTGAAGGACTAAAATGCTTTACAGTCCTAATTACTAATAAATCAGAAGGACATTTTAATATCAACTCGGTAATAATTGATGATAATGATGTATAGGCAATTGAGACATTGTAGTTTTGAATGTTTGATGTTGTTTCAAGGATTCGTACAAATGTCACGCATTAAAGTCTTGAGCATTAAACTCGTGCATTGATCTCGTAAGTACCTTAAGCAAAGCGCATCTCTGTAGGTCAATGGTAAGCTTCAAACCCCAGAACGCAGTTTCGATCTTGGCTCAGATGCGTGGATTTTTTAAGCAGGATTCACAGTCGTCACGTATTTGCAGCATCTAAAAGAATCTCCTGCAAAATGCTGGAGAAACTTAAAACCTCCCACACTTCCTGTCCTATTAAGGTACCACATTCACTTCGCAGAAAAACGCCTCCTGTAATGGATCAACAGGACTGAAACTGTTGTGGTAGCACTCTCTTAAAATTTCAGGGTAAAAATTTACTGGTTACGCTGGGATCCCACAGTGTATCGCATAGAGAATTCCTATCACTTTCGTTTGCCGGAGGGGGCCAATTGATCCCCCTCCAAGCACGAAGGTATTCCAAACAACAAACACACTCAAATTAAGTACCTTAAGCATCGGTTGCGTCGAAGTGCCATCAACTTCTGCCAGCCTTGACGCACGCGTGCAACAGCGGTGGAGAACGTTCTTCGAACGCCGCCTTCGCTCTGTTGCAGCATGACGCTCCGAGCCGTCGGCGCGCGCTCGGCCGCGCTGCTGTGCGCCGCCCTCTGCCTGCTGGTGGCGCGGCCCGCCCTCGCCTACGGCACCTGCAGCGGCAAGAAGATGATCCGTGAGTACCGCCAGGCACCCTGCGCACCCTGGCAGGCGCGTAGTCTAAGGAGCGCGTACGAATGGAAAAACGTTGCTCCGATAAACGGGGATTCTACACGACCAGAATTAAAAAACGAAATCGGGGTCTGGTGAATTCGAATTCTGGTGGCTTGGAGGCGCGATTTTTCATATTCATTGAGCTGTTGTTATAATATATTATTTTCTTGGCAAACGGTGAAAAACCTTTACGAATTGTGATAGTAATAATCTAGTAAATATCATTTTATATTATTTTCTAGGCAAACGTTGGCGAAGAACCATTACGAATTGTGATAGTAATAATCTAGGAAATATTGCAAATATGATTACCATCACAATTCATAGTTCTATCTCTTAAAATTTTGTTCAAAATTCAAAAACAGTCCTCTTCAAATATGAATTTTTAAAACTTTCATTTCATTTTCTCAAAATGTCCAGTAAATTAAAAAGTGTAATTAAAATTGTCATATCTGCATTTAACTTCGTAGCAAGAACTTTTGGAGAAAGTTCGTAGTAAGTCCGTAACTTTCGGAGTTAAAAAAGGAGTAAGTTTCTTTACAAAATAAAGCGGATAATATCACAATCTAATCGTTAGCCGTTGTTGAATTGCAATAAAATTTGTATTTATTACACATTCTCCTAACACAACTCCTAACAATTTAATAATAAAAATTAACTCGATCAAAGAAATTGTATTTTTATTTACAGATTTAAAGAAATACATGATACACTTGAACACTAATATCTGCAGTGGAACGGAATATTTACGAAAAATTAAATTGTCGTTTTCTAAAATCTTAGTGATTTTTTTAAATTATCTCATTCAATCATTTCACATAACCAAATATCCTGTGTTAAAATAATTTTCTAAAAGTTGTCATCTGTAATGGAATTTATAATAAATATTAGGTCGGTAAAAATTATTGAAATTAAAAATAATTACGTCTTTTTATCAAAGACTTACTCCAACGAACCAAAATAGATTTTAATGTTTTATAATAGTAGAGGAATGATGACCACAAAAACTTAATAATTTTGAGATATACTTAGTTTTTACAGCTATTCATATCTCGAATCACTTCGTCTTTTTTCTGTTATTTTAAACATTCCAGAGGTTTCCCTAAATTAGGACACGTAAATTATTAAGATCACTCGTTCAGCCGGAAATAATGTTTTCCTTACATCACAAGTACTATAAAAGTTTTCCAATTATTATTCAACTTCGGTTACAAAAAGTCTCTTTCTATATGACATTCAATACCACAAAATCAGATGCAATTATTTTTAAAAAAACATGACATGCATTATCCATAGAATATGAAACAATATATCGAACTAAACATAAAATTATTACTGCCTGAACAATAATCTAATCACGCTGGAAATTCATTAGTATAACAAATAAACTTCGATTTGTTTACAAGAATATAGACTGTCAACTATTGATGGGACCATTGTATGCTGAGCTATTGTCAAAATTGCTTCATACCAGATTTGAAAGCCATGCCTCGTTGATTCTTTAGACTTCAAATAAAATTTACTAAAAATGGCAAAGTTTAGAATATTGATAGAATTTCACAGATCTTTGCTTTCAAAAATTATCATAATTTAAACAAGACGGATTCCAATATGACCTCAGAATTTTCGCTTCCCCTTGACCATGCAATAAAGCATTTACCTCCATATTTTCTGCAAAACTGATATTAATTTTGTTGCTCTTTGTTGAAATTAACACATACTATATTTCTAGTTTTAAAACATTTGAATAATTATATTCTTTATTCAAATAAACGCGTTCCCAGAGGAAATGTACCCGGCCTGATTAAGTTCCGGCTCCATTCCGGAGCTGAGGTCCTGCTGACGATCTCCCGAGCACGCACATCTCATCACCGGTTCTCGCGTGCTGGCCCCCTCGCTCGCAGAGGCTCGCCGCTCTAATGAAAAGCGCACTCGTTGGCCCATTAGCTTACAGCGTCGCCCGAGCGCTCTCTCAAAGGGGGCGGCCGGCGCACGCGGGGCGGAACACTGACCGCTGCGGCGGCTCGCCGCGATCGCAGGGGACACAAACATGGCGGATTACAGCGCACTATGTCAATAAGTCCAGATCCTAAACCTTATTAATTTCAAATAAAAAATAAAATTATGCAATTACGAAAAAAATGCATTTGTATTTCGAATTATTATTATTATTATTATTATTATTATTATTATTATTATTATTATTATTATTATTATTATTATCATTATTATTACTATAATATATATAATAAGTTTCACAGTTTCAGAGAGACTGAATATATATTATTTATTTTATTCAATACACGCGAGTATAGAAAAGCAATACACTATATTTCTAATTATAAAATATATTATATTTTCATGCTTTCAATCGTCTTTTTTATCCATTATTTATTTGCACTACAATTTTTTTGAAAGGAAACAGTGTTGATAACTAATATCTCTTGCGAATATTCAACATGTCTGTTCTCATCGTGGTAACTACCACGATGTATATGTGAATGTACTTATAAGAACGCAAAGGAACAGTGTACTGTACTTATAAAAATGGAAAAGTGCTCTGTTTATTTGTGTTTACAAAGTCGGAAGAACGTTCTTAAACACGATTTCCCCTCAATACCCACTCTTCACGCAAACAAAAACTGATTTGAGACATTTTCAATGCGTAACGGTAGAGTAATGATAAACGGTAAATTAGCACATATAGTTTTAACAGCTGTGCAAGTTATTTTGAAGTGTATTTTGAATAGAAACGTCAAGGTGAAAGTTGTCAAATTAACCGAACACGGTTGCAGAGAGACTGAATAGAAATTTCTGGTATAAGTGTGTACATTTTCGCAAATATTTTTACACATACGTAACTTCGTCCACTAACACTGAAATACAGGTATGATCAGGTACCTTGAGGTACACATCACCAAATTTTCACTTCCAAGAATATTTCAAAAATATTTAACACACAAATTGAAACTTCACTGATATACTTCAAATCCTAATATTCAATTTATTAATTTCTCTTAAATATTTTGACAATTTTCGAAAAGGATGAGCGTACTAAGGCGAGTGATCTGAGTTGCACCTGAGTTTCCGAACGAAGATGTTTCTGAGAATAAACGATACGCATACGAAGTGAAAAGTGATGGCACTTCCAAAAGTCCAATTAAACAACATTAGGTGGACAGGCGCGAAGATTACGCACTCTGTAACTCATTGTTTTAAAACTGAAAATACCTTCATTCTGGAAATCAACCTCGAATGTTTCTGTCAACGCTTGCTGCGAAGGGGTAGTGCCAAAGGTAAATTGTCCAAAAAAAGATCGCATTGTGTAAACAGGTGCGTAAGAAACAACTTGTGTCTTTTCGAGGACTCCGAAATATAGAAAGTAACTCGTTTCAGAGATGTTCGATGATTAAGTTTGTTAAGGGCAATGTGTGTTGCGGGTTGCCAGTACGCCTGCATGCCCTACACCATAATCTGCTAGCATTCTTCTTCTTTGCCTTCTCCTTAAACGTGTTCAGTTCAGGACTATAAGGCATTTCTTTCTTTTGCAGCAGAACACTTTCGCGGTTTTGTTCCGATTGTTTCTTATACACGGAACATTACCGGCATATTTCTTTAGCGTATTATATGTATATGTAAACATTATTCTACGTGAGATGCGTGGCGTAACTGCAACTTCCCCCGCGCGATCAACGCGCCACATGATTCTCGTTGTGCGCAGGGAGCGGCGGCCTGTCGTGCGAGGACCGCCAGCAGATCCTGGACTGGCACAACCGCCTGCGCCAGCAGGTGGCGCTGGGGCAGGTGCGGGGACAGCCCAGCGCCGCCAACATGAAGGAGATGGTGAGTACTCCGCCCTCCGCGCCACGGCGCGCCGCGCCGCGCTTCAGATGAAATGTCGCACACAGACCTTTTCGCCACTCGCCCATTCGCGCACGACAAACACGGGCAGTCAAGAATGAAAGAGCATCCTGAAAAGAATCTCGCCAACAAAAGGCGGGAATTCATTGCGAGCGAATCACGCCATACTACCATTTCATAATAGTAAATGCTTTTTTCAAAGTGGCATTTACTCCGGCGCGTCGTGAACTAGAACACTCTGATAGCTGATTTGTTTGAATAGATCCTAGAATATGTAACAAAGGAAGGTAGAAAAGCGTAGAGAAGTGTATGAAATATATAGGTGGGGTTGCAAAATAGGTATATTCAATAGAAGAAATCAGTGAAAAAAGACTCGCTCAGCGTATAGAGCTGCGGACAAGGGCAGGGTTCTAAAATTAATTGAAGGGTTTTTTTACAAGAAGTATAAACAAGTCCAAATTCGAAATTTTTGAGGATGCGAAAATACTTCATACCTTTAGACGTGCCTAGTTATGAAGTGATAATTTCCCCCCGCCTTTTATCTTTTAATGTGTTTCGCATTTGCTGAAAGAAAATAATCTAGCAGTTAGCTCCAGTTGTCGGAAATAACTGGGTCTAATATCTCAAATTATGGAATGTTAGACTTCTTTGGTTGTGGTAAGAAATTTCTTAATTCCGTCTGTTTCATAGGCAGCAAGGGAAGAGTATTTATAGAGGGAAGAGAATATAGACAAAAGTGAATATATTCTGTGAATGAGTAGTAAGGGTTACTGACGACGTGAGAAAGTAGTGACTGTGAGGCAGACAAGGACAGAGGGTGCAGTCGTAATACCAATGACTTCAGATCACTAAGACAGTCATGAGTAAGAACACATTCAATACAGAACAGAGACGCGGAGACAGGGCCGGACTTAACTCGAAGCAAAACACGAAGTTTCTTAAGGGCGGATGGGGATACGCGCTCCCTGGAAAAAGAACATTCACAAAAAGGTCATATATCTGCAAAACAGTAAATAAATTTTCATTTCTATTTACATAAAAAGTTATTCTATTGTAATTAGTGTTTATCAGTAAATCTCAAAGATTTCTTCTATGGAAACCCCATCCCGATTTCGTGCTTGACTCTCCGCGCGAAACCTGACAACCGCCGACGTTAGAACACGTAGAGCAAATCCCAACGCGTGAAGAGAGCGGAGAGGCCTCAGGGTTCGTCGCGCCAGAATCGGACACAGGAAACGCCCGCTTGTCGATCCACGGCCCGGCCTGCGCCCGGGACGCGGACCGTCACGCGCATTGCGCCGTTGGGCCACCACCTCGCCACAATAGCGCTGCGCAGGGGGGGGGAGAAGGGGGGGGGGCTGTGCGCCCGTTCAAACGCATGTCTCACCGCCCAATGCAAAGATTTTTTTTTTTAATTAGGCGGATGCGCTCCGCCCGCGTTCTTCGGCGCCCCGCGGTGTTCAATTAACTCCTCCGACGGAAGCGAGCGATTCAAAAGCGCGCGCGCGCACTCGCTCGCTCAATGCGCTCAATGCGATGAAAGGCCGCTCGCTCCGCGAGGAATGTTGCCGATGGACGGACGTCGAGGCGGGGATGGAGGACGGAGGACGGAGGACGAGGGGGAGGGAGGAGGAAGATGAGAGGACGAACGCTGAAAAATGGCGCTTTTCGATGCGCGCACAAAACGCGCGCCGGGGATCTGCCCGTCGCCATGGCAACCGGCGGAGGCTCCGAGTGGAGTGCGCGTCGTCGGTTGGGCCGTGCCCGCCTCTTGCGCGCTCAGGTCGGCGGGCTGGCTGGCCGGTGCCTGCAGGGTCAGTTCAGACAGCCCTTTGGGCACACTACCGAGGCGACTCCTTACAGTAAGTTTACGAGCTGGCACGTGGTTTTCTCGACGATCAACTTCAAATGAATTTCCTTTTTCGATTTTTTTGTTTTGTTTTGTTTTGTTTTGTTTTGTTAATATGTATTTCTGCCGCAACATATCCATTCCCTTTCCATCACCTTCTCCACTTTTTCTCTCCGTACTTTTGCTCTCTGTTTTTCTCCCAATTCACATCTAGTGACTTTCTTTTTCCAATTATACATATTTCTGCCAAAAGATATCCGTTTCTTTCTCATCATCTACTTCTCCATTTTTTTCTCTGTACTTGTTAAAAGAATTAACCTCTTTTTTCCATGCCCCTCCTCTCCCATCTTGTTTCCACAAGAGTTCTTAATTTGAAATTTCAACTGACAATCATGAGAAGAAATAAAAGGTTTTCATAGTTTTGCATCGTTAAGAATGAGATCAGAGTTCAAATCCATATGAAGTTTAATTAATATAAAACAGTTTATATTCAATTCAGATTACGTAAATAATTAAATACAGGAGATCCAACAACTAGAAAGAAAATAGAAAATGCCCATTCTTGTAATTGCATTTTCTTACCCTGAAATTTGTAATTCTTAAGACATACTTCAGTATCATTGTAGATCAAGTCGCTGGTCTTTGCCATAGAAGTTTAAACTACGTGTCTTTGGTTTGTACATTATCGTATATTTCTTCATAAAGCATATATTGTTTTTACATTCAGCATTTTACTGCACAGGAGCATATATTGCGTTTGCGAAAGAGGTTTTATCTTTCCCAGACTGTGTCAGAAGATGATAAATGTAAAATAAATGTCTTTCGTTATTATACGTTTTACTTCCATCTCCCTGAAGTAATATTTTCTTGTCTTTTAAAGCGTGTTCGCCTGGAGAAGTGTTTCTTACATGAATGTAATACTTCAGCGATTTGAATGTTTTAATACTTTGCTGGCAACGATAAATATAAGCATTAAATCACTACAGCAGCCAGCATTTGCGTGACATTGTATGCTATCTGTCGTGTTTCCCGGTGTACATGTAATGGAATCAAAAAGTATCTTGTAACAAATGAAAACTAAACCGTTATCATAGCTACATGCGGGCGAATGCGACGCACCGATTTTTTTTCCTTTCGGCATTATAACTCACATTTTAAAACGTATGCACTCACCATTTAAATATCTACAATTGGGGGATAAATTGCACTGAAAACTCTGGCCTTAATATTATAGGAGTATGACATGTTCGGAACATATTTGGACTTCTTCGATATTCCAGAGGTTTTTATAAAAATGATATCTACACCATAACCATAAAATAAATATCTCTATTCGCACAAAAAATTCAAAGAAAAACTTCGCAGACTTTCTTCAGAAAATGTTTAAAATGTCACCGGGTCTTTGTGTAAATTACCTCAAAAAATTAAAATATCTTTATTATCCCCGAAATTAAACAACTATATTTTACTACTGACTTATTTACCAAGTATCAGCTTGAAGTTTTCTTATCGGAAATTAGTTAGTTAATCATGTCACATACCTCCTCCGAATAATTTTGTTTTCCAATCATAATCAATGCAGTATAAAGGAAATATAATGGAAAACGACGAAAATCAACGTAAAAACCAACAGACACTAGAGGAATACGTTACCGAAACTTTTCCTTCTCTTTGCTATTACTCAACAATTACTCAGATTTTTTAAAAAGTGCATGGCATCATTTAAAGATCCACAATTGAAAAATTTATGCAGAAAACACCCAAACCACAAGAATCAACATGGTGTAAAAATGGCTTGGAAAGTTGAGACACATTTTTAAATTTCGAGCAACAACGATGCATGCCGAAAAATATGTGTGGGATGTGGCTTAGAAAGGTTCTACGTATTCACTACACAAAAAAATAGAAAACTCCATTAAGTGATATTTCGAGATCAGATTGTTGAGGTGATTCCAACCATACTTTAGTTTAGGACGGAGAGTAAACATTCTGTGAAGTTGAAATGGCAAATTACATAACTCTTGCATGATGCTCCGACATTTCTAACTGTCCCACACCCTGAAAATTGAGAGACAGGAAACAAACACATTTGAATTGTCTGTTTCACAGTGTGTTGTTGTGCGTTTGCCCCTAGGTTTGGGACGAATCCCTGGCGGCCGTGGCGCAGAGGTGGGCAGACCAGTGCACTGTAGCCCACGACCACGCGCGCGACGACGGTAAGTCAACCCGCACGCGCGCGCGCACGCAGGAATCGAGCATGTTTACGAGAACACGCGCAAAACCTCAATCATCTATTTATACGTCAATATTAATCACAACCGAAACACAGCGGATTGCAAAAGGAGGGCTGATTTGCTCGTTATTTCGAAATAAGCTTGCAAAAAGATAAATAGTAATGGAATAGATATTAATGAAATATGGTAACGCTAGGCTGTGAAATTGAAGTTAAAGTTTACAAAATGGCACATGCAAATATAAAGTGTTTATGAAATACAGCGCCTTGTGTAACTTCAAGTTATCAGACAGTTAATGATTTAATACTCAAGTATGCACACGAAGGCGATTGCAGAATTGGATACGAGACGACATATCCCACAGCTGCAGTTAAGTGTCCGATTCTCGTAAAGCGGGATTATTGATTGGGCAATTTAAAAACGCTTACATCAATAAATCTGCTCTTTCATAGCACGTACCACGGAACCTTCGGAAGACGAGCACCGCTTTTGCGGCGCAAAGCGTGTTAGGTCATGGGATATTCGGGTTGAAACTCAATGCTAACACTATTCATTTATCATTAGCGCATTTTATCTTCAAAGTTTTTCTCCCACATCAAACAGCACATTTAGTAGCAAAGTTTTCAAGTAAAGTAAATTAACTTTATTCCATTTTTTCTCAACATAATTTTTCAAAATCACTATTTTGTAGTACATCCGTGAATATGTGAAGTTGTATAACTTCCCTTAGTTTCTATTATTTTTATTTTCAACAAGGAGTAATATTTTAATTTTTATGCTAAAATATTTAATATCTATATTTCTATATTAATATACAATTGTATTATAATAATATAATTATATATAACAAATTATTATATAATTTTTAAAATATTTATCTTAATACACAAGAGAAAAATAATTCTTCTTTTTTTATCTGATGGCTGTTTAAGAACTTTTATCTTATCAACAAAAATTCATTTGTCTCTCATAAAAATATTTTTACACTCGAACAATACGAAATGACACCATCTCCAACGTTTCCATTAAAACGTTTGTAAATTAGTTTTTTTAAACTGGGCGTTAATTAAAATGCGTATCTTCACAGGTGCATTACAGGAAATTTGATCCCACAACCGAATACACAAAAGTAACGAGAAAACTTTTGTTGGAACACAGTCACCGCATAACAATGGTTTCTAAACCGTGACGAATAAAAACATATACTAAACTTAACAAACTAACAAAATTGTTTCAAATTAATTACCTGACTGGCCCACAAGGGTACATTGTGGTGATGAAAATGTAATTTTTACACCAGATATTTTCTACCGTAACTACAAGTATTTAATACCTATGAATTTGCTAGCGTGCGCTGATCCCGAAAATGTGCAGAAAACCATCGACATTGCATAATCTCTAATATCAAATATGCGAATGTGAAGCTGGATTTTGCTTCGTTACCGAATATTTTTAGTGATAAATTCTGTACGATCTGTAAATATCAGTAAACAGTCACAAATAATTAAGTGCGCCATTCTTTAACTACATGCTTTAACCTCCATCTTAGTAGTTGCTCGTGACAATTAACAGAAAACAATTTTTTATACTGAAAAAAAGATTTGTCTTCCTACATGACATGGGAAAAATAATTCTTCCTTCATTTGATCAAGATGAACACATTGTTTCATCAAGAAGACTGTTCGAGAACTTTCATCACATCAACCAAAATTCATTGGTCTCTCATAAAATTAAGGTTTTAAAATTGAACAATACGAAATGTCACTATCTTCAACGTTCCATTAAAACGTTTGTACATTCATTTACAGCCTTTAATAAAAGCATATGTGCCATATTTCCCAATGTTGCATTGACTCCACTATACAATAAATAAATATTCAATATTACATTATCTCCAGGTTAATCCAAATAATTTTTGTCGTAATTTTTAATATTTTATATAACTGAGTATAATACACGTTTTGTCACATTTATTCACAAGGGGAATGCAAATGTTGATGAATCAGCAGATTCATCAACTTACATTTGTGGTTCGTTTCTTCAACAAAGAAAGTTATTAAATTACTTCGCCCGTGCAAATTGCTTCCGGAAAGTCTCACAAAATGGTTGCATTTTCCCTCAGAAGATAACAATTTGTCAGTTTTGATTTTCACGGCGGGTGATGGCACCACGTGTGGCGGCAGTGTGACGGTGGCGCTAGCGTGTGGAGAGGGTTACAACCAATGTGTGTTTAGCAATGGTCGCATGCAGATGCAACGGTTACGCAATCGCTGACCATTGCCTCCAACTTGTTGCATGCACACTATAGGAGTTTGCATTTAAGATTTAAACATCACTTTAACATTTCAAACCGTCTAATTGGAAATACACGTTCACTACAATAGCATTGCAAATGGGTTTTCGAACTGAAGGTCAATATACGTAATTCTTGGAAAGTGCACAAATGAAAAGAATCTCTAGAAGTTGAATGTAAAAAGAACACGGAAGGTATGCATCGGATGATAATAAATGTACGTGGCAGTAGAGAGTAACAACTTTGAAATTCTGACTTAGAATATTCATGAAATACTTTTATAATATTCTTTAAATAAACTGTTGACTTTCAATGGTTCTTTACATTTCAATGAGGGACGCTCATATCACAAAATCAAATATTGGTATTTTTTAGTCAAAACGTAAATAATTTCATTGTTTTTGGATTTTTACGGCGTTCTTCGGTATATAACGAAACCATAGTCACCTCTCACATGGTTGGAGGCTGCGTAGTTTTCTTTCAATTCTGCGCGTAATACATGTACCAGAAACCTAGAAGTAATGTTTGAAAAAACAACGCATAATATGAACGTCGTACAATGCTAAAAATGCAACGATGAACGCATAATTCTCTGAAAACTGATTTATATTATTTAAAAGAAACAATTTGTCTACTCGGTCGCATAATTCCGATATGATAATTTTTTACATTCAATTTTCCACGCATTTAATTACATGTAACCGTTAGTTCAACAAATCGTGAAGACAGAAATAAAACAGCCAGCAAAATATTTCCTTCGTAAAATTCAGTAAATGATCGTCAACCGTATTTGTATGTTGCAGGGCGGTTCCCCGTGGGACAGAATCTTGCCGCTACCTGGACCACACGCACCACAGTCACTCCGGAGCCAGATTTCCATAAGCACATCGACGGCTGGTTCAACGAGGTGCGCAGCTACAACTACCAGACGAGCGGCTTCTCGGCAGCCACCGGCCACTACTCGCAGGTAGGCGCAAATGACACAAAACACACGACCGTTATGACAGAGCATCTCCCTATTCCATTTTTGGCTTGCGTTCGCACCAGCATCTACCAGTGTGTAATAGTCCTAGTTTAATTTCGATATCAAATGTCATGGTAATTAGCATCTTTGGGGAGATTCGTCATTGTTTACAGTTTATTCCGTTTGTGACTTCAATAGGGACACTTGCATTGGGAAGTTTCAATCCCACGCTGCTCAATTGACAGAATTGTCGTACTGTCCGAGATGGCTTGTGTCATTCGCCTTTCACTACACCAAAGCCGATCACGCCCGAGCGTCACCTCTTCCCTCCCGAACCGGCTGATTCAACAAGCAGCGGAACACATCGGTAGCCCGCAAGTAAGCGCTGGGACAGAGCTTGCCAAGTGGACCGCCAACTTGAGCAGGGCAGCGCTGCCATCAAAACATGATCTCGCGCTCGCATGCGCAAATACGCAAAAATAAATACACGTACTGCGCTCGCGCGCGCAATGGTTCGAAGAGAAGAGTTCAAATCCCTCACCGAGACACGCGCATCCCTTACTGAGGCGAGTTCTTAGTTTGGTTATAGTAACTGCAGCGATGAGAAGGCGACCAACGCAATCAGCACAGATCCTGTACGTAAGGGGCTCCACAGTGAGCACGTTCCAAACGCGGGGAGGCAGTGACCGATCTCCCCTCGCTGCCGGGCGCGCGACCTCAACCTTCCGCTGATTGCGGGGCGAGGCGCGGCGGGGCGGGGAAGAGGGCCGTCTGGGCGTCGCGTGGGGTCGCATGCGGGGCAGCCACGCGCCCCCGGAGGTCGCTCCAAGGGGCAGGCGGCGGGAGGGAAACGCGTGGCTACCGCCACCGCCAGGGTCAAGGCCGCGCTGGATCGACCGTCCAGGGACGACGACGGCGGCGCCGCCGCCGCCGCCGCCGCCGGCCTCAAGGTCGTGTCAAGGTCGACTCGCGAGATCGATCCGCGACGGGGCTCGCGAGGCACTGCCACCTCCCCTCCCCCCTCCCCTCCCCCTCTCTCGCCCTCCCCCCACTGCCGAAATAGAACCGCGTTCATCCCACTTCGATGCACGGAAAAAGGGGGAGGGGGCCAAAGAAATCTCATATTTTCGTCCCAAATATTTTAAGTAATGTTCCAATCTTTAAGAACCATTGATAAAAAAGTGTCCAATTAAATAGAACAGAATAGAAAGACTAGTAAAAAAGCTGGATCTCAACAAGAAACACCGAACTTCATCTACTACCGCCCCTACAAGCAATTTATCGAGAAAAAATCCTTTGCGGCTGTTTACTTATGTCATCCTAGCACACGGAAGCAAATGCTTTTGTATCTTTACATGCCATGGATTCCCAATATCACTACTTAAGTTTCACTCTTATATTACTCTAGCTGCCTCATGGTTCGCTTCATCAACTACCTCAGTTCTTTTCTGTTATCGTCCCCTAGCTGAGTGAGATCTACTTAGAGCGGAATTTGTCATTGTATCTAAATTTACCAGGAATGCCGCAAATCTGGTGGTCACGGTGTATTCTCTGCCTTTCAACATTCCATGCACATAGGCTAGAATAAAACACTATGCCTTGCGTATTGATGAATGAGGTTGAACTAAACGTTAACCAGTGGCATGAGCTCAATAAAAAAATGAACCTGTTGTTTCCAATTATACGCTTCAAAATCACGTGTTGGAATGTTTATGACGCTTTTAAATTACATTCAGTGCTTATAATAATAGAATCAAAAACACGGAGCTCATTTGAACTTTTGCGTACCTGTGTTACCTTTACCTTTAATCCAATAATTATGGATAGACCCATAACAGCTTAATTACTGGAATTGTAATTTTCAACACTGTTTAGTTACACGTTCCCACAAATACCCTTTGACAAAATTATATACGAACTTTCATTTCGGATTGACATTAAGAATAAAATCATGAAATTAATGACGCTATTTGCACCAAGCTGTCCATATTTACGTTCATAAATGTAGTCGTGAATTTGTGGTGAAACGAGTGAATAATTGGAAATTAATGGACGAGACTCTGCTTCGAGGCAATTCCATTCCCCCTCCCAGTGAAAGAAGATAATGTAATAGGTCCCTGAAGACCGATCGGATCTGAGGGATGGGCGTTCGATCGCCGAAATGATTCCAATTCTCTCAGCAATTCTCCTAAGTGATGTCCAGAGACGTACGGCGCTTTCTGTTAATAATAACAGCAACTATAAGAACATCATCATCATCAGCAGCAGCAGCAGCATCAACAACAATTAGTGTGGGAATCCGTGGCAAATATTATAATTAATTTTTAAAACTTTTTTATTTATACTTTTTCCTTTCAAGCTAGTGCCGAAGGACAGTAAGGCTTCAATGCACACATAACTGATTTCAGGTTTCTTAAAATTTCAAAAGAATTCTCAAGGAGTAAAGAGAGAAATTGTTGTGATAATGGTCTCTAATGTTCACGTAGTATCTGTAGCGCAGCAAACAAACAATACAGTGATTCCGTCGCATTCACGGCTTTCATGATTCTCTTACGTTCATGCTACGTCGGAAATGTGGGGGCTTCAGTTCATTAATTCCTTCATATAATCTTTAGTTGAGTTTTGCTGTTGAGTTGATCTCTTTATGTCTTATGACGTTCTTACGTCAACTGCACGGGACCCTCGCAAAAGAACAGTGCGCGTTGGTGGTCGTCTCGTCACCTTAGGGAAAGGTTGAAAGAAAGTCTGTAGTTCGAGCCAAGACATTTTTATTTGTTTATTTAAGTTAACAAGAAGCATACATACCTCCACCTTTTCACCACTTTCACTTCGGAACCATCCTTACAATATTACCTGTCTACCCATATTCACTAATTTTGCGCGTATCATGTTTCACAGTTTGACGACACAAAGTTTGATGTAATACGTTATACTAAAAGTATCTTTAGTAAAAAATGAAATGGTAATAAAACAACGTATGTACTTGAAAATATTGGAGGCCAGAACGCCCGTCGTCACCTCTACCAATCACTGACACCTGATATGCCTTATACGTAACTGATTTATTTATTTATCTATTTATTTAATTATTTTGGGTAATCAAATCATTTAGCTTTTAATATACTCCAATCATAATTCCGCAGAACCGACGTAGACTGCGAATCGATAAGACACCCTATTATTACACAACTTGAGCCACGCAGCCACCAAATATCAACTAATATGCAATGAAATGTCTAATTCTAAAAGCAAATATTCCCCGAAAAACCTTTTGATCAACCCAAGAGGATAATCAAAACAATAAATGTTAAGACATTTAAATTTTACTGACGTAAATAAACGTAAATAAAAATATTCACCAAATGCTTTAAAATATTACAAAATAAAATTGGGAACTCAAAGTTAGGATTACCACTCATTACAGGAAGACAAAGTGGTTGGATAGATTAACGAATCTGTCATTCCCGATTGTCTCACCGTTGCAAACAAAGAATGAAGGTCCACGAAATACTTCAAATTTTCTTTAAAACAGAGTTTTGGAAATATTAATTTCGTTTCTTATGACACCGATGATAGCTCTATCGATTTAAGGATTAAACAACATAATAATAAGCAAATATCAACCTCGTGATTCTTTTAAGCATCTCTTTATTAATCTAGAAATTTTACCATGACCTTGCCTCTTGATTTATGAATCTATGTTTGTCTTAAAAATAACTTACTCAAAGGTGTGAGGTAGTAATCATATACATCAGGTGTCACTATCAATGGCGCTTTACAAAAAAAATCACATACATGTAGATTATTTTACAACTAATTGCCAGATGACATTAAACGATTAAATCGATGCAGAAGTTTAAGTGTCAAGCAAAATCTTTTCTGCTGCATAACTGCTTCTATACAATTACAGACTATACCGAGTATCAAAAAGAAGAGTAATATTAATTTTAACTGCAACATTTAATGTATTAATTATAATGAATACATTAATACAACCAAGTGATAATGATCATTTGGAGTGTATAATTCTAAATAACCTGTAACAGGTATTGTACCTCAGCTTCTGGGTCTAAGACAGCCATATCGATCCGGTTTTTCGTCAGATTCTTTGAGTGAACGCTAAGCTAAGCACCCCTTGCATTGTCTCTGGACGTAAATGTAACGTCACTATCGGTGCACATCTTCGAGAGTTCGGTGAGAAATACAGTCATTCAAATTATGGTTTTCCATGTTCTCGCGGCAGGAAGTCGAACCCTTCACGAAGGGCACGATGAGGGATAACAATCCAAATCAACGGCCAGTTTGCTTTTCCAAATAGTTTTTACTGCCCGGAGATAATACTTTCTTCTCCTTTCTAAAAACTCGCATTTACCTCTGCATTCAGAATTCAACTTGTATATGAATAGGATGCCAGAATTTAAGAAAAGAATACACTTCTCCCATTAGTACGTCACATACCATTTTTAACTTTTTTGACGTTAAATAAATAAATAAATACGTTATTATGATAAATATATAAAATGATACAATTGAACCACGTAATATATCAGAAACAGTGGAAGAATGCTTTCTTCACTGATTGGTACTCACACCACACAAAAAGGCATCACAGACAATCAGAAAACATGAACAAATAAAATGGTTGTTGCAGAAAATTGAAATGGGAAGAGTTTTAAAATCTTTCAGAACTTTCTTTACATGTTAAATGAATTCCTTTTATTCAGAAATCTCACTGTGATATGACATCTTTATGCTCAGAGATTTATTTTTTTCTTGTAGCTGGTGTGGGGCGACACTCATCTCGTCGGATGTGGATATTCCTTCTACTACGATCGCTCGAAGGGCTACACGAAACTGTACGTGTGCAACTACGGACCCGGGTAAGTAAAAACTAATAAATCAAGATATGGATAAGTGTGTAGTATGAGCTCCCCATTAATCATCTAAAGCACAATCAGCTCTGCGTAATATCTCTCTGTTATGATCCATTCTTTTACTGTCGAGTAGCAATGCAAATATGAGCTTGAAAGTTTAATTAGAGTTGTGCCTAAATTCTGCGAAAACATTGTGATGTTGATACAAATCACAGATGAATAAAAGACGTCACATTTGGCAACATTAATGTATTATTGAATGTTTTAATCACAAATGCAAATAAAACACAGTCGTAATATTAGACACTCAATGACTATGGGAACAAAATAGACAAATTCCTAGACGACGAAACATTCAACTAGTTGGCCACAACAGCACATACTTCCACACATTATTTCTACATATGCAAATTTCACAGTTCAACGATAATTGAGGGTGTCAGCGCAATAGTGGCCTATCCCCAGATCCTGTGTTTGGAGAAAATGGCTGATGAAGTTATTATTGGCAAAATTAAACACTCATTTGTAAGTGTTTTCATATTATGATATTATGTAAGAATGACCACTGACTAAACATTTGTGGTGGATTACATCTTGTGTAAAACAGCATCGCCTATGCTTAGGCCACTATTGCACAAAGAATTGTAATCGTAAGCTGAGTGCAATAGTTCTTTTTGTAATTATAACTTGAAAACTATCGACGCGAACATGCTGAAACTGTTACACATTGAAGTTAGGGAGATTAAGATGTGATTAACACAGAGAACGCAATTTCCTAAAAATGTGGGATATGCCACTATTGCGCTGTTACCCTCAATTAGAACTGTACCATTCTAAGCGTATTTTACTCTACCCGAGAAAAACATTTGAAGAAAAACATTGGAGTTGTTTTTGCGAAAACTTTGTTTTAATAGCCTTTATTTCAAGGAAAAATTTTGAAAAACTATTCCAGTTTTTCACAAAGTTGTCCATGATTTTACTTAAATTTTTTAAAGATGCCATCAAGGAAAGTAATATCTATCACCCACATTGTAGTTTTGCGATGTTACTGTATTGCAGTTTTCGCAAATAACGAGTTCACGAAAATAGAATATGTGGTATTTTTATAAACGTTCTCTAGTCGAGAAAAATATGCATAAACAGCTACAGTATACAGAAAAATTGGAGTCGTTTTTGAGAAAATAATTGTTTAAATATTGTCAATATTTCACGCAAAATTGCACAAAACAACTCATAGTTTTGAACAATTGTGCATGACCTTATTTAAAGACATGTATTTGAACAGATTTCATTAAGAGAAAAAAATCTATGTCAATTCTATTTGTAGGAAGAAAACAAATAAAAATGAACTTTTGCAATTTTCAAACATTCAAGGAGTTCAAAGAAAATAAAACCTCCAAAATGTTTAAGCATTTTTGGCTCTATCCGAGGGGAAAAAATTTTTAAAATGTGGAACCATTTTCGAGAAAATCTTGAACATATTAAAGTGTGAAGTACCTCCAAAATCAAAATATTCATGTCAATGGCTTTCGCATGGCTTCGAGTTCGATCAGATATATCGAGGAATATCAATTTTGGAGAAAATCGCAATAGCAGACTTATGGACAGACGCACAGAAGTCGCAAACGGTCAGTGGTTTCGCTGTCAACCAACTTTCGGTGTCACCCACAAAAGGTGGATTCTGACTACATGTATCAGAGGAAGTAATTTACTACATATAGTAACAAGATGTATCCAGCATCCGCAGCTTTACAATACTTTCTTTATACTAGGAAAGTGGTATGCGAGAAAATAAAAAAAATTAAGAACTTCACTATAGTGATTTCTAAAGTAATTAAGTAATTGACAGTAATTAAGTAATGGAACAGTTCAGAGGACCAAGTCTAGCTCCGTGGTCCGGCACAACCCAGATTATTTCACCTCTTAGAGTTCCTTAACTCCAGACATTGCTTCCAGGGAGTGAATTGGCCATTTTCTTCGGACGAGGACATTCAAAACGTTAGGATGGAACAATCGAAGAATGGATAGTGAAACGAATACTTTCCTCGCTCACATAATACAATTTGAGTGCTCTTGAGACTGTGATTCTTTACCAATTTTTGTCATTTCAATTCATTTGAACACTTCCGAGTGAGGAAATCATAAATACATGCATTATCTGCGATTAGGACGACGACACACTTCAAATTAGGTAACTTGAGGCTCCGTACCACACAAGTGGATTATCTACAAAACACCGTGTTTCACATAGTTCATAAATCATTTTCATTCGTATTTGTAAATCAAATTACTTTTAAGTCCAAGTTGACGCTTAGCTATGCATTTCCTAGTTAGGACTAAGCCCGGGTCCTTTGCACTCGCGAACAAAAAAATATCCTTCAGTCTGTACAACTCATAACTACCAAGTCATTTTATGTGATATTACTTTTAATACGAAAACTCGCATCATAAATCCGTTAAAAGATAAATACGGATACGGATCTTTTAATACGGATAAATACGGATCTTTTATTTAGTGTATAGAAAGCACTTACTTTGAAACTTTAGAAATTGAATTATATCCATCTTACTGTTTCGTCGCATTTCACTAAAATTAAAACGTTTAAAATTCCTCTAATGTTACACAAAGAACAACACAGTACACAACAGATACCATACAACCCCATCCATCGAAAGTTTCTCCTCAAAATCTATCTTTCCCTCATCCCCTCAACCCCTCCGCGTCGAATTTCCTCTGTCCCTGAGAGTCGCCAAATTGCCGGTTAAAACGACTTTAAGTTGTACCAATTTTTCTATTTCAAACTAAATCTTTGATTTCTGTGCATTCTTAGATTGCACCAGTAGGTAAATTGAAAAGTAACAATTTTAATATGGCGTTGAATAAAATGTCATTGATAATACAAAGTGAATGCCAATCCGCTCAAAATTCGCACACATTAGTATTATTCCAATTTTTAAATGAACAATTTACCCAATATGAAGCAAATCAAATTGATTGTGTCATGAAAATGGTTTTATCTAAAAGGAATCACTCAATATTAATTTATATACAGAAATGCCATGACAAATTGTGCCAGTGTGTTTGCGTAAAAAATCATTTAAATTACTTTTTTCAAAAATCCATGTTTAATTATTAAACAACTTAATAACGTATTATTATTCTTAATTTTCAGGGGAAATGTTCTTGGGGAGAAACCTTATAAAGATGGCTACCCATCCTGCACATCATATGGAATGAAAGGATCCCAAAAATATCAAGGACTATGTGGTAAGTACATCTACAGTGGAATTATGAATAGTTCAAGAGCTTGTTAAGACCGAAGTTAACCAACAAGAAATAGTAAATGCACTTCTTCACATTTTCTTTCACATTAATATCCATCTCAACAGAAACATTCAGTTAAAAAACATTGATATAAAATAAGTAACTTTTATCTTTAATTTTTACTTCAACTTTTAAAAAATACACAAAGTCTGTATAAATATGTTGTTACTTAATCCAATGCATCCGTCACAGAGAACACATGGCGTGGATCACAAATTTCAATCAGAATAATCTGCAAGCTTCAAAGGTGAAAATACATTTTTGGCATGGATTTGAAATAATGTTAATGAAGTTCATGTTTTCCATATTCTATGTACATCTCTTGAAAAATCACGTATGGGGTAAATCACTTGGGACCAATATAATTTTAATGCATTAGAGCTGAACATGTTTGATTTCGGGTTACTTCCAAAAATTTATTTTACGATAGACCACGTTTCTAAATTATGTGTTATCAATAATACAGGCTAAAGTTTATCTTACCAAGCTGCAGTAGTACGTGAATAACAGCAATCACGTGAAGCTCCTTCGAATACAGTTGATAGGCGTTCGTCATTATTTTGGGAAACTGAAGTGAATCCAAGAGATCATGAAACCCGACAAAATGAATTTAAATTCTTTGATCTCATAGAGCTCCGTCAAACGCCACTGAAGAACCTAGTTCCACGGTTCCATGTACAGCTTGATTATATCACAAAAGGTCTCAGGTTCAATAGCTTTTAGTAACAACGATTAAAAATTACGATTAAAAATACCCCGTCCGGCGTTTGCCCACGTAATGTTTGATTACGCAACATCACGGAAGTATTCTTGCTCTATGGCAACACATAGGCCTACGATCTATGGCAGCACGGCGAGAGAGCTGAATGTAGTACCCACTATTGGTAGGTGTGTGTCAAATCGTGTTTTGTCAAAGCTGTCATTTTAGTGAACTATGTCAATGTCATTTATGAAATACTGGGCGCAATGAACGATATTCTTGGGTGGAAACTAGACGTTCATGATATTCTGTGGACAAAATCAACTATTTTAGATACGAATTACAAACAACACCATATTTTTCCATTTTCTGAATTTTCAATTTTTATAGACAACATACCACTGATGAAAATGTTAATAATGTTCAGGATTCTTTGCCATTTTTATAGTCATTAATACATTGACATTAAAGTCAATTTTTTAAATATTTTATTCATTTGTATTATTTATTATGGTAAATTATATACTTTATTATAGATATTTATTATCATTTTAATAAAAACAACATTTTGAAATTAAAAAGTATTTTCAAGACACAAGCTGTTATAAATAACTCATTTGAATGTTGAAAGTACTATACATGTTGATTCTTCTTCCTACTTGATGTTCAAGAGGTAGAAATTCTTTATATAATGTTAAAGAATACAAAATAAGCTCTAAAATGAAAACAATTACTTATTAAATTCCATTTGTTACTGTGAGAGATATCTTAATGAGATCTGTTACAAGAAATGTTTACCAAGAAAAATTTTCTTTTCCTTTGCAGAAGTGAATGGATATCAGTCCCTGGGACCATCGTGTGGCCACTACCATAATTACGTCAAGCAAAATCCGCAATACTCTGGATATACAAGTTACTATGGAAAATAAATACATCATCTTAAAAGTCATAAAATATATTCCGTTCTCAAATTCTTTTCAATGTATTCAGAGCCTTAAACTTTAAATTCCCATGCCCCTGTATCAGGGGTTTTATTACTTGTTTTATAATCTTAAACAATCTATAATTTAGTCATTTTCATCTTGTTTTAAGGGTAGCAAATCAGCGCCTGCACACACTTAAGTTATTTTTGTGTTCATTAATTTTTAGTCGTACTCTTCACCATCATTACCATTGTGTAGTTGAATCATTAAATGAATTTAAACACCAACTTGAAATTTCTTTCCCTTTCTTCACATATTGATTCAGGTACATTTTAATAAAAGAAAATCAAATAATTTTCTTAAAAGAAAAAAAGTAAAGATTGATAAATGACAATCTATAATGGATGAAATTTAGATATATTTTAAGTAAGTTGTGACTTGCAAGACAGTTTGAGTGTCAACTGCAAAATCTTGCCTTTCAAGTGAATAGTGAGAAGAGAGAAGAAGAAGAGTCTATTTTCTGTATGCTATAAGCATATTTTCAATCTCAAGGCAAATACTGAACTTGAAGTGAATATTTATTTGTAGTAAAAGTTGGTTATTTAGTTGATTTTTCAAAACCAGACTGAAAAATATTTAGAATTTATTAGCATGTAATGCATTTTTTTAATGAGTTTAAGTGAACTATGTAAACTGTTTTACACAATATTGCTCATTTACTATAACATTTTTAAACAATCAAATAATGTGATGTATAAATGTATGAATTTTTAAATATAGCAAATATTGCTTCAAAATGGTTTTTCTTTCAATTCTTCATCTTCCTTGACAAAGCATTTTGAAACTTTCACACAGAGCTGTGTTGTTCAGGGTATGTTTACATCAAGAGAACATTTTTTTTAAAATTATATTTAGGTTATCAATTAAACTGGTGTAGGTTTGACATGAAAATACCCCAGATCATTTACAACACCACTGTTCATTCAAAGCTTAAAATTTAATCAATACTTTTTATACTGTAATGACTCAAGAATCAAATGCAAGGACATTTTTCTGTATATTTAGCTCTGTTACCTTCATAATCTTTGATAGTAGAACTAATATCTTAATTAAAAAGGGATACAAAAAGGAAGAATGTGAAGCAGATAAAAGACATAATGACACTTAAAAACTGCAGCTTAAGAACCAATAAAAAAAAGATGGCAGATGGAAACAGTACATAACTTTTTAATTCTTAAAAATGGTGAAGTTCATTTTTTTGAATGAATTTACATGTTCTTGTATGTAAAAACATTTTTTTGTTTCAAAATCTTACTCATTTCTGTGTTATTGATAATCATCTGAATAATTTATTCCATCTTCTAGGAATTGAAAATAAAGTAACGACCTGATCTTGGATTTTCATGTTCATTCTCACAAAATATAAATGTATGCATTAATGTAAATTATATTTTTTTGTTATGAATCAGTATTCCAGTGAATGTTAAGTTAGTATTAATATTGGATATGACATCCAGTAGAGTTGAAAGGTAAACAGACTGCCTCAAATGTCATTGAGAATGTAATATAATAAACTGATTTAGTCTTCTAAGCCCTATGGGAAATAAGAAAAAATTTAATAAACTGCATTTGTAAAAACAAAAAGAATTTTGACATCCAATACGACTTTCTAAATGGTTTTACATATTCCAGATATTGTTATAAAAATATAAACATCCTCATTAGTTAAATTGTTGAAGATCTTTTTAAATGTAGGTATTCCAAACAATGAATGAAAATATATTGTGGAAATAAAATGCCACACTGAATACACAAACTGTAACATACCATAATGGATAAAACAATGTTGTTTAACTGTAATGGAATTAAAATAATTACTCCATATCAATTCTTTGATAATATATTTCCTTATTTTATATAGTTTAGAACATTTTTTCATTATTATTTAACTTTTACGTTCATGCTGTTATGTATGATTAGTTTAACGAATTACTGATGTCATTACCACAATGATTTAATAATATACCAATCTAAACATAAGCTCTAATGAAAATCTGAACAATTAATTGGAGGAGAAATTAAAATTTTGTAGGCAAATATATATGAATTTTTAGTTATGCCACAAAGACAAAATCATAAATTCTCATTGACACTCATCACATTTCCAACAAAAGAGAGTTGTGTAGTTAAGTTCTCTGCTTTGCACACAATTAACTGAATCACATTTTCAGGAAGCAACAAAGTTGATTATAAGGGACCTATCATTTCTTGAAAAATCATGTTTTAACACCCTGTACAATGGTTTCTAAAAGACAACATATGCAGAAATCTTGTAGTAACCCTGACAGTTTCATATTCCCAGATTTGATCAACTTTTTATCAGCAACAAATCTGGAAGTTTTGCAACTCAATATACATCTTTTTTGTTATCTGATTTGTGTTCTTAAGTATCTAAAAATCACATTTGCTTCTTGACAGTAATTCTCCAGGGCTTCAGAAAATGAATACATAACTTATGCTGCTTTTATAATATATGCATTAAAATTTTTTTGCAATCACATTTGTAACAATATCAAATAATAAATGTGTGACAAAAACTTAGCCTTCTTGAAACTGCCCTTGGTTAGCCATTATTTTCGAAGAGTTTTTCTTTTTTATGTATCTTTTCCAATGATAAAAAAAATTATTTACATTTTCTCAATTTTTCAGCCCCCTAACAGTTGAATTGAAATATGGTTTTTGGAATATCATAGACAAAGAAAAACAATCTTTCAATATGTAATGGGGAGAGGATCTCAAACAGATTTTGGAAAATGATAAAATTTTATTCAAAACCACATTAAAAGGTTTAATGAATATCTTACCTTTTCCATATTATAAAGAGGATCTTCCCGTGTTCAAGCAATAAATGTGGGAAAAAAAAGTTGCGAGAGATTAATTTTTGAGAAAATATTAAAAGTGTCCCACACATTTATATGAAGTATGATTATTGAAAAATTAAAATTCAAATTGTACAAAAACACACACATACACACACAACAACTCTTATTTTCTCACATATTTTGTATAATTATACAATATTATAATAATGCAACATGTAGCTACTACAACTTCAGCCATCTCTTTTTATTTCATCATATTTATTTTAAACAAAACACTTTTAAAACCTTTGATGATTCTTGAAATAATTGTAATAAACTTTTGATAATTTCTTTACCAAACAAAGCACAAGAACATGTGTTACTTAAATTTTAAAAATTTAAGTTTGAATGAAAATGACACTTACACCATTGAATTTAGAGTATAATCAGTGTTATAACATTTGTTAAAAAAAATTAAGGAAAATCAGAAGCTCTTTCTTTAGAAAATCATTTATATATGCATATGTGATTGTGTGTGTTGAGTGTGTGTGTGTGTGTGTGTGTATACACAACACACAACACACACATATGCATATATAAATGATTTCTGTGTGTGTGTGTGTGTGTTATATATATATATATAATAATATATATATTAATATATATATATATATATATATTACACACACACACGCACAATGCATATATAAAATGATTTTCTAAGAAAGAGCTCTGATATTTCCTGTAATTTTTTAGTAAATGTCATTAACACTGTTATACTCTAAATTCAATGGTTGTCTGTAAGTTCATTTTCATTCAAACTTAATTTTATATTATATATGAAAATTTTCATGAGGTTACTCAAAGTAGCTGTAATGTGACCCAACACCATACAATTACAAAAACAAACTTGGTCGCAATTTGTCACGAAGTTCGCATTCTCTCGGAACTATTCAGCAAAAACGAATGAAACAAAATTCAATCATGGGAAAATGTGCATCGCAATTTGGGATGAACGTTGTAAATTCTGCCTCTATAAGAACTAGCGGGGCCACAACATCACGTACTTTCTCGCATTTAATAATGGTTACGTAATATTATCATACTGCATTTTCTATCCACATTAACACATTTCAGTCATCAGTTTGTTCCCATTACTTCCTCCACCACGTTCTTGTTGCGAAAGGCAAAACGTCTGTTCGTCTTTGATTAACGACAGCGCCTGAACTTTTTTCTCGAATTGACCAAAGGGCGGTGATAAAATTGGCGCAGGTCCCTTTTTTGGTGCTCTGTATTCTCTTAATCCCTCTGTGCTCTATAGTCTCTCTGTATTCAATTTTGCGAATGTAATTTTTCTTTTCGATGAGCACGTCTTTTCTGATGCCGAAAATTTCTAACTTATTTCTCTTTTCGCCATTCACTAATCACCTCTTGCACACTGCGATAACACTGAAGAACAAATTTTTAAAATTGACGGATATCTTTGCATATAACACTTAATCTGGGGCTTTGGTGGGTGAGGGTTCGCTTACTGGCCTCTGAATCCCCAATGCGCGGGTTCGATCTCGGCGGAGATGCCCCAATTTTCGAAGGGCGGCAAATCCAGAGTAGTCATGACACACTTGTGGCATGTAAAAGAACCTGGCTGCCCAGCAAAATTAAATTCCTCCGACATCTGCCCTAACGAGATCTCACTTTCTCCCAACCAGACAGTTCAGATATAATAACTGAGACCGACATCTGGCGGCAAAAGTAGAGTCTAATCCCAGGAGCATTTAGGGACCGCCCTCGAAGTGTGCCAGCTCGAAAAAGGTCCCCAGACCCGTGTGGGAGGGAGGCTTCTAAAGAAGCCTGGGTCGAAAACTTAGGGAAAGCAACGGAGAAGTACCCTGACTATATTCTCCCAAGAAAACCCACCATGGGTCACCTAACTTCCGTCTATGGACGAATAGGACCAAAGAAAAAATACTTAATATAAGATAGGAAAAACGTGCTGATTCAAAATATGCAAACCATTTTCCTCTATCACCCACCGCTTTTTAGTTATACTATTTCAATCATTTATATTTTACTAAAACCATATTGTTACATGGAGTACTAATGAACATGGAATTAGCTATGAAAATAGTGAGATTAAATCACACGACATAAAAACTATATATTAGAATACATTTCTAGATTTAATACACATAAAATTCACACACGCTGAAAAAACTTAACCTAAGGTGTATTTGGTTTGAATTTTTTGGCTGCATATTTGTGTTTGTGCAGAGCATTTGGCATGTCACGCTGAAGTGTCCAGCAGTAGTCAGTCAACATTGCTGCACTTCATCGACCCTATACTGTGACTCCATCTCCGAGATGAAAACGTTCGTCACTCACTTAACCTAGGTTTTCGAAGAAGAAGTCGAGATGTGAGTTGAGGAGATGAATTTTGAGGGACATGTTGACATCCAGCTGCTTGTAGGTACTGACGTACTTCTTCACAACATTTACATAGTCAACAAATTTATAGCTTCCAAGGAAATTGGCCACAATTGATTTGAATGTCACCCATGCACTTTTTTCAGTATCATTCAGTATTTCTAGGTAGTGTCTGTCAGCAATCACCTTCCTTATTTGTATACATCTGTCACCTTCACTTAACCCAACTCTGGAAACTTGTTACACAGATACCGAAAAGCATCGAGTCGTTGTCTAGTACCTTCACGAAATGTTTCACATTGACACGGTCAATAACCGGCACACGAAGGACATTTTTATTTCCTGATTGCATTCTAGTTCTGACAGGCCAATTTTGTCTTTATGTTTAGATTTATTCAGTAAAAAAAAAAGTAAAAACTATATGTGACGTATGAGGGGGAAGATTATCTACGCACCTTTTCTTGATTTCCAGAATCCCTTCCCATCATTTTAACAATGAATAATTGAA